GTTGGTTTGTGGTGTGTTGTTGATTAATAATTTGTGAATGTGTTTTGTATTTTTGTTTGGTTTTTAGAAAATGGGAGGAGGCAGGGGAGTATGGGGTAAGTTTGGTTGTTTGGGTTGGGTGTTTGGTGGGAGGTGATTGGTTCTAGGGTTATTTCATTTAATTGTTTTGAGTTGTTTGTGAAATTATAATGGTTGATTGTTTAGTTTGTAATACTAGGAAATGGAGAGGAAAGTTAGTTTGAAATGAATGAATGATAAATGTTTGGATAAATCTAGGGAAATATGGTTTAGTTTTTTGATTAAAAATGATAAAAATTTCAAGATAAAAAAAACAAACGTTTAAAAATGGGTTTTAAACGCAAGTTCCTAGAAAGTGGAAAAATAATTGATATGTCCGGCAACCATTACACTATCTGCTTACCCATAGGTGATTAGCGCGCCCTCCATGAATGGGGTCAAAGTGCATCAGTGCTAAGTTTGAGACGACCTTATCCATCAAACCATGACATTCTGAGTGTTAGGGGATTCATATGTTCGACGGTCATGTGATGGACATGTCAAGAGGAAGATAACACCTGCTACGCACTTGAAGGGCTTATTGAAAGGATATTAGAAAAAAACAAGTGTAGAAGGTCGGTATGCCTACAACCCGGTGAGATTAGGGAGGAGAATCCAACCGACCACTTGTATCTGTGAAGAGCAAGTGAGGGGGTTTGGAGGAGTTCATGGTCCTGAAGTTACAACCAATAGCGCAAAAGAGCAAGTTGAGCTCGGCGGTTAGGGGGAAAGTATGCGCCTGAAGCCAATAACCTAAATCACCTATAACGTTGAGTAGCTCGGTTCTCGTGAGAAGCGCAGTCGAGAAATAACCTGGTCCTCTGGCTTGGGAGTGCTTGAAGGCTGTTGGCCTAGAATAGTACCTAGGAGGTGGGCGAACTCGGTAGACTATGAGAATTCAAAGGTGTACTAGTATATTCCTCGTTTACGAGAGTGGAGGTTGGGTATAGGGGTAAGTTCCTGGGTCTGTGGGTGACGCTTGCGGCTCGGCCTTTGGTAGGATCACTTGGGCTGTATGGGACCTGAAACAAGAATGTATCTGGTGATGTAGTTGTCCGTATAACATCTGTTTTGGAGATAATGTTTGGGTTTTTGGTGGAGTACCATTACGTATAATGTGGAATATCCTACATTTCATGAACTGTCTGATGTGGCAGAGAGTGTAATGCATATTATACATACCCTAGTAAGCATGAGTAAAACCATGCTCGTGGGGGGGGGGGGGGGGGGGTAGATGGACTGAGGTAGGCGTTCTTGTAGTTAAAATTTATAACAACGGCTTTTCAGGCCGTAGATCTCGGAGAAAGGCCGAGTGAGAATTTATGCTAGAATTTGTTTTGTTTTTGGGTCTGTGTTTTGCTTTGGGGGGACTAGCAGTTGCGTCTAACCCCTCTCCTTATTATGGGGTGTTAGGGTTGGTTGTGGCAGCTGTTGCGGGGTGTGGTTGGTTGGTGAGTTTGGGGGTTTCTTTTGTTTCTTTGGTGCTTGTTATGGTGTATTTGGGGGGAATGTTGGTAGTGTTTGTTTATTCAGTGTCATTGGCGGCGGACCCTTATCCTGAGGCTTGAGGCAGTTTGGGGGTTGTTGGTTATGGCTTTGGAATGAGTTTGGTTGTTGTAGTAGGGCTTGTCATAGGGGGTGTGGTGGAGTTGTTGGTGGATATGGGGACGGTAAATAATGGGGGTTTATTGTCAGTGCGGTCTGATTTTAGTGGGGCGGCTCTGTTGTATTCAGAGGGGGTGGGGTTGCTTTTAATTGGGGGGTGGGGGCTGTTGTTGACTTTGTTTGTGGTGTTGGAGCTTGTGCGAGGGTTGTCTCGGGGGGCTATTCGGGCCGTGTAGGGGGAGGGGGTAGTCAGGAGATAGTTTAGTTGAAAATACCAGCTTTGGGAGTTGGTGATGAAGGTTTAAGTCCTTCTTTCCTGAGGTGGTGGGATTAAACTCTAAGAAGGGGTGTAATCTTCAATCTTTGGCTTACAAGACCAATGTTTTTATAAACTATTAGAGTTTATTGGGGTTTAATTAGAGTTTAAGTAGCTTGTTCTCTAGGATGGCTACAAGGGGGAATAATACTAGGATAATTGTGAAGTATGATAGTGAAGCTAGTTGACCGATGATAATGAATGGGTGTTCTACTGGTTGGCTGCCTACTCAGGTGAGGACTAGTACGTTGGCAACTAGGGTCCAGAACAGGATTTGGGAGAGGGGACGGAAGGTTATGGATCGTAGCTTTGATGTGTGGAGGAGCGGAGTTAGGAATAGTACAAGGATTGAGGCGGCTAGGGCCAATACCCCTCCTAGTTTGTTTGGAATGGATCGTAGGATGGCGTAGGCGAATAAGAAATATCATTCGGGTTTGATGTGGGGAGGTGTTACTAAGGGGTTGGCTGGCGTGAAATTTTCTGGGTCTCCTAGGAGGTTAGGGGAGAATAGGGCTAGGGAGACTAATAGAATAAGTATTAGTGCGAATCCTAGGATGTCTTTTACAGTGTAGTATGGGTGGAAAGGAATTTTGTCGCAGTCTGAGGGAATTCCTAGTGGGTTGTTCGATCCTGTTTCGTGTAGGAATGTGAGGTGAACTAGTGTGAGGCCTACGATGACGAATGGGAGTAAGAAGTGGAGGGCAAAGAATCGGGTTAATGTGGGGTTATCTACTGAGAATCCGCCTCAGGCTCATTCGACTAATGTTTGTCCGATGTAGGGGATTGCTGAGAATAGGTTTGTGATGACTGTAGCTCCTCAGAAGGATATTTGGCCTCATGGCAGGACGTATCCTACGAAGGCGGTTGCCATAAGGGTTAGAAGTAGAACTACTCCGATGTTTCAGGTTTCTTTGTTTAGGTATGAGCCGTAGTAGAGTCCTCGGCCGATGTGTAGGTAGATGCAGATGAAGAAGAGTGAGGCTCCGTTTGCATGGAGGTTACGGATTAGTCAGCCAAATTGGACGTCTCGGCATATATGGGCGACGGAGGAGAATGCTAGGTTGGTGTCTGCTGTATAGTGTGTGGCTAGTAGCAGACCTGTGACAATTTGGGAAATTAAGCAGATACCTAATAGTGATCCGAAGTTCCATCATGTTGAAATGTTGGATGGTGTGGGGAGATCAATTAGGGCGTCATTGATGATTTTTAGGATTTGGTGGTTTTTACGAAGATTGGGGGCCATTAGGTGGTTCTGTATGAAGACATGAGGATGATGAGGATGGATAGGGCGAATGATCCTAGGTAGGCCTTGATTAGGCCAGAGTGGAGGGTGGTTAAAGCTTTGGATGCTGCTAGTTGCAGGTTGGCTAGTCCTTCTGGGCCTAGCATTTTATATCAGGATAGGTCTATTAGGTGGGAGGCAATTTTTTGTCCTCCGTTTAGGAGGTTGGTTGAGGTGAAGCGGTGTGTTAGGGGGTTGAAATACCCTAGGGAGATGGAGAAGTTTGAGAGGGGGGCTTGTTTTGTTAGAATATGTATTTGAGTCGTTTTTGAGATTTCTAAGGCTAGGGCGATTCCTAGTACTGTCACTGCGAGGGCTGTTATTTTAACGGACAGAGGTATAGTTATTGGTGGGGTTTTTGTGGGAATGATGTATGAGGTAATGAGGAATCCTGCAGTGATGCTACCAAGTGCTAGGCGGGTGATGGGGGAAGTAATTGCTGGGTTGTTTTCATTGATTGGGGCTAAGGGCGGAATTCGAACGAAGCCGCTCTGTACTAGTACGGTCATGCGAATTGTGTATACTGCGGTGAATGATGTGGCTAGGAGAGTTATTAGGAGGGCTCAGGTATTTAGGTAGGATGTGTTCAGGCTTTCAATGATTTGGTCTTTTGAGTAGAATCCTGCTAGGAATGGTGTTCCTATTAGGGATAACTTGCCGATGGTAAGGCAAGAGGTGGTTGTAGGTAGTATCTTTTGGAGTCCGCCTATTTTCCGAATGTCCTGTTCACCATTTAGGCTGTGGATGATAGAGCCTGAGCATAGGAAAAGTACGGCTTTGAAGAATGCATGGGTTGAAATGTGAAGGAAGGCTAGCTCAGGGAGGTTTAGTCCGATTGTAACTATTATTAGTCCTAGTTGGCTTGAAGTAGAGAATGCGATGATTTTTTTAATGTCGTTTTGGGTGAGAGCGCACGTAGCTGCAAATAGTGTGGTTAAGGCTCCCAGGCATAGGCATAGGGTTAAGGCGGTTTGATTGTTGTTAAATAGAGGGTTGGTTCGAATGAGTAGGAAGATTCCGGCTACGACTATTGTGCTGGAGTGTAGTAGGGCGGATACGGGGGTTGGTCCTTCTATAGCGGCTGGTAGTCATGGGTGTAGACCAAATTGGGCGGATTTGCCTGTTGCGGCTAGAATGAGGCCTAGGAGGGGTAGGGTTGGTGTTTGGGCTGTGGTTGGGAGTTGGTGAATTTCTCAGGTGTTCATGGCAGATGCTAGTCATGCTATACATAGGATTAGGCCTACGTCTCCGACTCGGTTGTAGAGTACGGCCTGAAGGGCTGCAGTATTAGCTTCTGCTCGTCCGTGTCATCAGCTGATGAGTAGAAACGACATAATCCCTACCCCTTCTCAACCGATGAACAGGACGAATAGGTTGTTGGCGATGATTAGGATTAGTATGGCGATTAGGAAGAATAGGAGGTAGGTGAAGAATTTTGTGATGAACGGGTCTGAGGCTATATATCAGGTTGCAAATTGTAGGATAGATCATGACACGAACAGTGCGATGGGGAAGAAGGTGAGTGAGTAGAAGTCTATTTTTAGGCTGATTGGGATTTTGAAGTTTATGATGAATTTTCATTCTCAGAAGGAGGTCAGGCTTTCTGTTCCTGAGTAGATGTGAATTGTTATTGGTACTAGGCTGATTAGGAAGGCGGTTTTAACCGTATTTGTGATAATTGTAGGAGTGTTTTTGAGGTTGTCGGATAGGAGTGGGAATACAATAGGAGTGACGAGGGTTGCTAGGGTTAGAAGTATGAATGTGTTCAGGATTAGGGGTATATCCATTACTTTCACTTGGATTTGCACCAAGATAAGTGGCTCCTAAGACCATTGGATTACTATTATCCTTTGAAAGTAAGGGGACTGAGGTTTTATGCTCAGATACAAGAGTTAGCAGTTCTCGTTGGTTCAACCTCCCCTCGGCGAGTAAGAAGGTTTTAACTTCTGTTTTTAGAATCACAGTCTAATGTTTTGGTTGAAACTATACTTGCATATAGGGATGCCTGAGATTAGTTCGGGTTTGAGGATGAGCAGGAACATTGGGATTATATGGAGGGCTATGAGGAGGTGTTCTCGTGTGGAGGAGTTTTGGATTGATGTAATGTGGGATGGGAGTGGGCCTCGTTGTGTTATTATGAGTATGTATAGCGTGTATGAGGCGGTAAGCAGGATTGCGGTTCCTGTCAGGATGATTGTGAAGGCAGATCAGTTGAAAAGTGCGACTACAATGGTTAGTTCTGCTATGAGGTTTGTTGTTGGGGGAAGGGCTATGTTTGTGAGGTTAGCTAGAAGTCATCAGATAGCTATTAGGGGTAGTATAGGCTGAAGTCCTCGTGTTAGTAATAGAATTCGGCTGTGAGTGCGTTCATAGTTGGTATTGGCCAGACAGAATAATATTGATGATGTGAGGCCGTGTGAGATTATCAAGATTATTGCTCCTGAGAATGCTCATTGGGTTTGGATTATGGTTGCGGCTACTACTAGGCCTATGTGGCTGACGGATGAGTAGGCAATTAGTGATTTTAGGTCAATTTGTCGTAGGCAGATGGCGCTAGTTATTAATGCACCTCATAGGGCGAGGGTAATAAAGGGGTAGTGAAGGTTGTTTAATGTTGGGTTTACTAGGATAGTGACTCGTATGATTCCGTACCCTCCGAGTTTAAGCAGTAGGGCAGCTAGAAGTATGGAACCAGCAATAGGGGCTTCTACGTGGGCTTTAGGTAGTCATAGGTGTAAGCCGTATAGTGGGGCTTTGACCATGAAAGCTAGGAGTAAGGCTAGGCTTGCAATCAGTCCTGATCAAGAGGTGTTTAGTGGGGGGTGTGAGAGTTTAAGTATTGGGAAGTATAGTGTGCCTATATGGTTTTGTAGGTGTAAGATGGCGATTAGCAGAGGTAGTGAGCTGGCAAGGGTGTAAAATAGGAGATAGATGCCAGCATTTAAGCGTTCTGATTGGCTGCCTCATCGGGTGATGAGGATGAGGGTTGGGATTAGGGTGGCTTCGAATGCAATGTAGAAGAGTATCAGTTCTGAGGCCGAGAAGGCTAACAGGATGGATAGTTGGGCTAGAATGATCGTTGTAGCGAAGATTCGTTTGCGGATGGTAGGTTCTGGTTCTAGGTGGTTTTGGCTTGCTATGATTATAAGGGGGAGGAGTCAGCAGGAGAGGACTAATAAGGGGGAGGAGATTTGGTCGATAGAGGTTCAGGGGGTCAGGCTTTTGCTTGGGTAGTACGTAGGCGTAAGTCATTGGAGGCTGATGAAGGCAATTAATAGGCTGTATAGGGTGGTGTTGGTTCAGAGATATTTACGTGGGGAGAGGAAGGTGAGAGGTAGTAGTATAGCGGTTGGGATAATGATTTTTAGCATCGTAGGAGATTGAAGTTGTGTAGTAGGTCGGAGCCGTGGGTTCGGGTAGAGGCTACTAATAGAGCCAGCCCCGCGCCTGCTTCGCAGGCAGAGAAGGTTAATATGATAATGGGGAGAATAGTGGATGATGGTGCTTGCATTTGAATGGGCCATATAGCTAGGGCAATGTATATGGACAATATTATGCTTTCTAGACATAGTAGGGCTGAGATCAGGTGGGTTCGGTGGAAGGCTAGGCCCAGGCTGCTTAGTGTGAAGGCTGAATAGAAGCTTAGGTGAAGGTAGGACATAAAGAAAGTTATAGGGTTTGAGCTATAATCTGTTGAGTCGAAATCAACTGTCTTGGTTAGACTAACTTTCTGTTATTCTGCTCATTCTAGCCCTCCTTGGATTCATTCATAGATTAGTCCCAGTGTAAGAAGAAGAATGAGTAGGGAGGTTCAGGCTAGGGTGATGATGGGGGATTGTAGTTGGGTAGCTCATGGCAGGGGTAGTAATAGGGCGATTTCTAGGTCGAATAGGAGGAACAGAATGGCGACAAGAAAGAAGCGAATGGAGAAGGGTAGTCGAGCCGATCCTAGAGGGTCGAATCCGCATTCGTATGGGGATAGTTTTTCTGAGTCGGGGTTTATTTGGGCTAGTCAAAAGTTTAGTGCGGTAAGGAGTATGCTTAGGGTGAATGAAAGGGTTAGTATGAATAGGATTATGTTTATTACTCTTCTCTGGATTTAAACCAGATTTTAAGGATTGGAAGTCGATTGTAATTAATATACTAGAAGAGTAGGATCCTCATCAGTAGATAGAGATGTAGAGGAATAATCATACGACGTCTACGAAGTGTCAGTATCAGGCTGCTGCCTCAAATCCGAAGTGGTGGGTGGGTGTGAAGTGGTATTTGATTAGGCGTAGGAGGCATACAAAGAGGAATGTAGAGCCAATAATTACGTGTAGGCCATGGAACCCAGTGGCAACGAAGAAGGTGGAACCATAAACCCCATCGGCGATGGAGAAAGGAGCTTCGTAGTATTCTATGGCTTGGAGGGCGGTGAAGTAGAATCCTAGTAGGACTGTTAGGGATAGGGCTTGAATTGCTTGTTTTCGTTTGGCCTCTGTGATGCTGTGGTGGGCTCATGTTACGGTGACTCCGGAAGCCAGGAGGATGGCAGTATTCAGAAGTGGTACTTCTATAGGGTTTAGGGGTTTGATTCCAACTGGGGGTCATTGTCCGCCTAGTTCTGGAGTAGGAGCCAGGCTTGAGTGGAAGAAGGCTCAGAAGAAGCCTAGGAAGAAAAAGGCTTCTGACGTGATGAATAGGGCTATTCCGTATCGTAGCCCTTTTTGAACGGTTGGGGTGTGGTGGCCTTGGAAGGTGCTTTCTCGTACGATGTCACGTCATCATTGGAACATGACTAAGGCGGTGGTGACAAGGCCGAGGATGAGGAGTCGAGGGGAGTTGTAGTGAAATCATATTGTCAGCCCTGAGGTGGTTAGTAGGGCGGCGGCTGCTCCGAAAATGGGTCATGGGCTTGGGTCTACTATGTGGTAAGAGTGTGCTTGGTGAGCCATTGTGGTGTTAGATGTTTTCTTGAAGGTAAAGGCTTAATAGAAGCACGAAGACGTAGGCTTGAATTATTGCTACTGCTACTTCTAGGATTGTTAGTAGGAACAGGACTAGTAAAGTTAGTAGGGAAACTACTGGTATCGTTGAGAATAGGGCTGTTGTGGCTGTGGAGATGAGTTGAATGAGTAGGTGGCCTGCTGTTAAGTTGGCTGTTAGCCGTACTCCTAGGGCTAGTGGGCGAATAAGTAGACTTGTTGTTTCGATTAAAATTAGGGCTGGGATTAGTGGGGTTGGGGTGCCTTCTGGGAGGAGGTGGCCTAGGGAAGCGGATGGTTGGTTTCGTAGGCCTGTTAGTAGAGTGGCAAGTCACAGGGGGAATGCTAGGGCTAGATTTATGGATAGTTGGGTGGTTGGGGTGAATGTGTATGGTAATAGACCTAGTAGATTGATTAATAGGAGGAAGATTATAAGGGACGTTAGGATTAGGGCTCACTTGTGTCCTTTTTTGTTTAGGGGTATTATTAGTTGTTTTGTGACTAGGTTGATGAATCAAAGTTGGAGTGTTGAGAGGCGATTGGTAATTCATCGGTTGTCTAGGGAGGGAAGAAGTAGGGCTGGGAATGTTATTGAGATGAGAATCAGTGGGATTCCTAGAAGTGATGGACTCGAGAATTGATCGAAGAAGCTTAGGTTCATGGTCAGGTTCAGGGGGTGGTGCTTGGGGCTACAGTGGACTTATGAGATGGGGGGTTTGTTGAAACAAATGATAGAAGTTTGGGTTGAATGATTATGGAGAAGGTTAGTCATGAAATGATTATAATAAAGAATCAGGGGTTAGGATTTAGTTGGGGCATGTCATTAAGGAGGGGGGAAACCCTCTTTCTTTAGCTTAAAAGGCTAATGCTGGTTCATAGCTTCTTAATGATTAGGATGATATTAGAGAAGATCAGTTTTCGAAGTTAGCGAGGGGAGTAGATTCTACTACGATTGGTATGAAGCTGTGGTTGGCTCCGCAGATTTCTGAGCATTGTCCGTAGAATACTCCAGGTCGGGAGGCAAGGAAAGAGGTTTGGTTGAGGCGCCCTGGGATTGCGTCGGTTTTTACGCCTAGGCTGGGGACGGCTCATGAGTGAAGTACGTCGTCTGCAGTGACGATTACTCGAATTGTGGAACTTATAGGGACAATAACACGGTGGTCTACTTCTAGTAGGCGGAAGTGCCCTAGGGGTAGGTCTGTTGTGGGGATTATGTAGGAATCAAATGTGAAGTCCTTGAGGTCAGTGTATTCGTATGATCAGTATCATTGGTGACCGATGGCTTTGAGGGTTAGGTCAGGTTCATTGATTTCGTCTATTATGTACAGGATTCGTAGGGAGGGTAGGGCGAGCATGACCAGCACTATGGCTGGTAGGATTGTTCAAACTAGCTCAATTTCTTGTGCGTTGACTGTACTTGATGATAGCTTTTCTGTAAGTATGAGGGTAAGCAGGTAAAGGACTAGGCTGCAAATTGCTAGGGCAACTATCAGAGCGTGGTCGTGGAATCCTATTAGTTCTTCTATAATAGGTGAAGCGGCGTCTTGGAAGTTAAGTTGTGAGTGGTTGGCCATTTAGATGGAGGTGTGCTGGGTTTTCACCTGCGATTTAGTCTTGACAAGGCTATGTAATTGTTTTACTAACACCTCTAATGAGAAAGAAGCATAAGTGGTCTATGCGGTTGGCTTGAAACCAACATATGGGGGTTCGACTCCTTCCTTTCTTGGACTTGGACGAAGGCTGGTTCTTCAAAGGTGTGGAATGGGGGTGGGCAGCCGTGGATTCATTCAACATTGGTGCTTGTTAGTTCTGGTTGTGTGGCTTTGCGTTTGGATGCAAAGGCTTCTCAGATGATAAATACTAGCATGATTACGGCTGTTAGGGAAATGAGGGATCCTACTGAGGAGATAGTGTTTCATAATGTGTAGGCATCAGGGTAGTCTGAGTATCGTCGTGGTATTCCGGCTAGGCCTAGGAAATGTTGGGGGAAGAAGGTTAGGTTTACGCCTACGAACATTACTCCAAAGTGTGTTTTGGCCCATGTTGAGTGCAGGGTGTACCCAGTGAATAGGGGGAATCAGTGTGTGAAGCCGGCCAGGATTGCGAATACTGCTCCTATTGATAGGACATAGTGGAAGTGGGCTACTACGTAGTAAGTATCGTGCAGGGCGATGTCTAGTGAGGAGTTTGCTAGAACGATTCCTGTCAGTCCTCCGATGGTGAATAGGAAGATGAATCCTAGGGCTCATAGTATTGGTGGGTCTCATTTGATTGTTCCTCCGTGTAGGGTGGCTAATCAACTAAATACTTTAATGCCTGTTGGAATGGCAATGATTATTGTAGCGGATGTGAAGTATGCTCGGGTATCAACGTCCATTCCTACTGTGAACATGTGGTGGGCTCAGACAATAAACCCTAAGAAACCGATAGATAGTATCGCTCATACTATTCCTATGTATCCAAATGGTTCTTTTTTTCCTGCGTAGTAGGTTACGACGTGCGAGATGATCCCAAATCCTGGCAGGATCAGGATGTATACTTCTGGGTGTCCGAAGAATCAGAATAGATGTTGGTATAGGACTGGGTCTCCTCCACCTGCAGGGTCGAAAAATGTAGTATTGAGGTTACGATCTGTAAGAAGTATTGTAATGCCTGCGGCTAGAACTGGTAGTGACAGGAGCAGGAGTACTGCGGTAATTAGTACAGATCAGACGAATAGAGGTGTTTGGTATTGTGAGAGGGCAGGGGGTTTTATGTTGATTGCTGTTGTGATAAAGTTGATTGCACCCAGGATGGATGAGATGCCGGCTAGGTGCAGGGAGAAGATTGCTAGGTCTACTGAGGCTCCGGCGTGGGCCAGGTTACCAGCTAGTGGTGGGTATACTGTTCAACCTGTACCTACTCCTGCCTCTACTGTGGAGGATGCTAGTAAGAGGAGAAAGGATGGAGGTAGTAGTCAGAAGCTTATATTATTTATTCGTGGGAATGCTATGTCTGGTGCTCCGATTATTAAGGGAACTAGTCAGTTTCCAAATCCTCCAATCATAATTGGTATAACTATGAAGAAGATTATTACGAAGGCGTGGGCTGTGACAACTACGTTGTATACTTGGTCGTCTCCTAGAAGGGCTCCGGGTTGTCCTAGTTCTGCTCGAATGAGTATGCTTAGGGCGGTACCTACTATTCCGGCTCATGCGCCGAAGATTAGGTACAGAGTTCCAATATCTTTGTGGTTGGTTGAGAATAATCATCGGGTAATGAATGTCACGGGTAAGATGGCTGAGTGTATAAGCGTTAGGCTGTAGTCCTTTTTACAGGGGTTTAATTCCTCTTCTTATCGGCTCTGTAGTGAAGTTCATAGTGAGTTGCAAGCTCATTGATGTGCATTAGTTATGTACCGGAGCCTTAGGCAGAAGCCTGTTGGTTTGGGCATATAGCTGTTAACTATAGTGTTATGGGATCGAAGCCCATCTGCTTAGGGAATTAGAATAAGGTCCTAGCTTAATTAAAGTATCTGAGTTGCATTCAGGGGATGCAGGGTAGTGTCCTGCGGACTTTAGCAGAAACTAAGAGAGTCTCACTCTTGTTTAAGGCTTTGAAGGCCTTCGGTTTGGGTAATCCTAAGTTTCTTAGATAATAGTAAGGATCATTGGGGAGATGGGAAGAAGTATGATGGACATAGTAGCCAGGATAGCGATCAGGGTGCTGGTTGGCTTGTTTGTGTGTCATAATTTCATGTGATTTGTGGTATGTGGAGGGAGTGTAATTGTCGTGCAGTACGCTAGGCGTAAGTAGAAGAATAGTCCGAGTAAGGATAGAAGGGAGAGGATTGTTGCTGTTGGGGCTATGTCTTGTTTGGTTAGTTCTTGGATGATGAGTCATTTGGGTAGGAACCCTGTTAGTGGGGGGAGTCCTGCGAGTGAGAGCAGGGTTAGAAGTAGTATTGCGTTTAGTGAGGGTACTTTAGTTCATGCGGTTATTAGGGTAGATAATTTTAGGACTTTGATTGAGTTTAAAGTGAGAAATACTGTTGCAGTTATTAGGGTATATAGATAGAAGTTGAGTAGAGTGAGTTTTGGGTTGTAGACAATAATGATTGCTATTCAGCCTAGGTGGGAAATAGAAGAGAAGGCTAGGATTTTTCGGATTTGTGTTTGGTTAAGGCCTATTCACCCCCCTAGAGCTGTTGAAAGAATAGCCATGGTGGTCAGGAGTGTGGTGTTTAGGGAGGGTGAGGTTATGTATAGTAATGTAATTGGTGGAAGTTTTATCGCAGTAGATAGTAGGAGTCCAGTGGTAAGAGGGGAGCCCTGAAGTACTTCTGGGAATCAGAAATGGAATGGTACCAGTCCCAGTTTTATTGCAATCGCTGAAGTTAGGATTAGGCATGAGATTGGGTGTGTGAGTTGGGTGATGTCCCATTGTCCAGTATGTCATGCGTTGGTTATGCTGGAGAATAGTACTAGGGCGGAGGCAGCTGCTTGCACTAGGAAATATTTGGTGGCAGCTTCAATAGCTCGGGGATGATGAGATTTTGAGATTAGAGGGAGGATGGCAAGCGTGTTGATTTCAAGGCCGGTTCAGGCTATGATTCAGTGGTTGCTTGACATTGTGATAGTTGTTCCCAGGAGCAGGCTGAAGATGAATACTAGTTTTGCTTGGGGGTTCATTAGCAGGGGAAGGAGTTGAACCATCATTTTCGGGGTATGGGCCCGATAGCTTGTTTAGCTGACCCTACTAGAAAGTAATATAAAGGAAGTATGGAGGATTTTGATTCCTCTAGTGTAGGTTCGACTCCTGCTTTTCTAAGGGTTAAGGAAATGAGAGGACTAGTATACCTCTATGTTCACTTTATCATAGTGACCCTTAGTGTTCAGGCACATTTCCGGGGTCCTTAGGTAGGGCGGTAGGCCTGCGTAGCAGATTGTCATGCTAGTGTGTCATAGACATAGGGCTAGTGTGAGTGGTAGGAAGTTTTTTCATAGTAAGTGTATTAGTTGGTCATATCGGAATCGAGGGTAGGAAGCACGGACTCATAGGAACCCTGCTGACAGGAGCAGTACTTTTGTAGCCAGTACGATGGGGAATAGTTCTTGAGGTGGGTTTAGGAAGCTTGGGTTAAAAAACATAATGGCGGTTAGTGTATTCATGAGCATAATGTTGGCATATTCGGCCAGGAAGAAAAGGGCAAAGGGGCCGGCTGCATACTCTACATTGAACCCAGAGACCAGCTCTGATTCCCCTTCTGTTAGGTCAAAGGGGGCGCGGTTAGTTTCGGCGAGTGTTGATACATATCATATTATGGCTAGAGGTCAGCAGGAGAAGATTAAGTAGAGGGGCTCTTGAGTGACTGCAAGGGTGCCAAGGGTGTAGTTTCCGCTTAAGAGGATTACAGATAGCAGGATGATTGCTAAGGTTACCTCGTAAGAGATTGTTTGGGCTACAGCCCGTAGTGCTCCGATCAGGGCATATTTTGAGTTGGAAGCCCACCCCGACCACAGAATTGAGTATACTGCTAGGCTTGACATAGCTAGCAGGAATAGTAGACCTAAGTTTAGGTCTGCTAGGGAAAACGGAAGGGGGAGTGGGGTTCAAACGGAGATTGCTAAGAGAAGGGCC